AATAACCAAGAGAACATAACTCCGTCAACATTGAAAACCCAAAATAAATATGTCCGCGGATGGTGCACAAAAGCAGTGTATTTTACAATGCAGTCGAATGGATATATCTTGTGAAATATAGCACGCAGGTACAGTTTCTTGGCAGTTTATAATAAAGGATCATCTAGGGTTGTTATTTATATAAATATAGTGCCATAACTGTAAATAGTTTTCGAGATTTTTTTCGGCTCGGGTCACCCTACTCACGGGTTTCCATGAATACTAACCACAATTAACTTATTCTATGTGATATGTGGATATACTCACGAAGAACCTGGTTAGTAAATACTCGTGGATCGCTTCTACACACTATGCATCTAACCGTGAAATAGCTAATGAACTAATGACAGACAACTTAACAGCTTAACAGCTAGTGAAACTAGTGCCCCCTAGAATATTGTCGTGCATAATAAAATTTAACATATGCACGACAGTTTTGTGACACGTGAATATTATCAATATTGCTACGTAGATTAGTAGTGGAATATGTAATTTTCTTCATTTTTCGCTAATCAAGTTTACTAATCTGTAGCTTTTATTTCTACAATTCCTGCAAGGCCGTAGTACCGCTGAAAAAAAAAGTCTAATGCATTTTTATACGCCCACATTTCCATGTTGTAAGGATTGTGGTTCACATTCCAAAACTAATCCGTATTTTATTATCTCCCTTTTTAGAAATTGGGAGTTATCTCCTTTGGTTACCTACTGTAGTTTCTGTAGTCAATCCGTATCTATACAACAAGATGGAAGAATAGCGCGCAAGATATATAAAAGTATACACTCCTAAGAATTATGGAGTCTGCCACAAAGTTTTACGTACTCATAATTACTTATTAATGTCACCCAACAACTACCGACTTCTCCATTCAAATTGTTATAATTATTATTTTTCACTCTGTCGAGGTTGATATATTATAAGCATTAAATATTGTTTGTTGTTTGATTTACCCAATCTGGTGATGAGTTCAGTAATAGAAAAAACGCTATAGACAACACGGCCGACCCGGGGAGCAAGAAAAAGAACAGAAGATCGTATCCAGTGTGCCAGAGTCCCACTGTCCCGCGCTATATATCCCAAGTAACAAGGTTCCCAGCCGTTATAGTAAAACTTTGTGGCAGACTCCTGTAACAAGAAATTGAAGAATAAGACTACACAAGAACTTAAAGCTTCATAGGCTACCTGAATTAGAAGAAATAGATTCCCTAATTAAGCAGGAACACAAGAAAGAAGTAAAACCACTGGAATTCTTAGAAAAGAAAAAGAAGAAATTTTTCCCCTCACATCAAGATATTTACCAAGAAATCAAGAATTAAAAACTTCACAAGTATTATATGAAGAATTTATTACTCCTCTTGTTTATATTTCATTTTACTTATCTGACAAAGGAATTAAAGATGTCTACTTCTGTCCCAGAACATGAAGAATATCCGACACCTAAATACCCTATTGATGTTAAAGTTACGGAAGAAACTGTCGATACCAGTTCTACAGTTGTAAAAAGAAAGGAAAGAATAGAATAGGATACAAGAGTAGACAGAACTGAAACAATAGCGACTTCAATAATTAGAAGTTCCGCGAGATCAGAGAAAAGAGCTGAGATAGCAGCTAAAGCAACCAAATTGGAAGTGGACATAGAATTTTATCAATTAGAATCTGAGAAACTTGCAGAGCTTAAGAAGATATAGATTACCAAAGAATTAGCTCAAGCTAAGGCAGAAATTGAAATTTTAGATTCTGAATCCCATTCCAAATCTTTATTTTCAAGACCACCAACATAAAAAGGAAATAATGATCATCTAGATAAATATTTAGAGACACAAGTTAAGAGTGTTGAAAGGAACAAACCTCAAGTATTTCTCCAATCCCTGACCAAGTGGAACAACCCACAGATAGTACTATTCACCAACTAGTGGACTTACTAACCAAAAGATGGGACAAGGATACCTTGCCTAAACCTGAACCAGATGTATATAAGGATGATCTGACCATGTGGACTGATTGGATTTCCACCTATGAAACACTTGTAGAAAGCAGGAGTTTATCGACTACTGACAAGTTGTATTACCTGGGCAAATACACTGCAGGGGATGCCAAAGATACCATTAAAGGATACCTTCCTTTAAGAACACCAGATGCTTACCGTGATGCCAAGAAAGCACTTCAAGATAGATATGGTCAGGGCTTGCGACGAGCAAATTGGAGGCGAGTAGATGACTACTCACGCAAATATAGACTTGTGCGAGTGAGGCGAGTACATGTATTTACTCACGCAGAATGATGTGCGTGAGTAGCCATTTCCCTTTGCCATCGTTGGCGTGCTGAGGGGATTCGGGTAGAGCTTAGAAAGGTAAAAGAACAGGCAAAACAATTTCAATCACATCAATTTGCAGAAAAGATGCGGGATCAAAGAATTGCTATAGAAACGACAACATCCGCTCAATTTTTGATTATCCAGACACGGCAAAGGACATCCGCTTAAAAACCGCCTGGCAGTACGCGTCTCAAAGTATTTTTAGTAACAACAGGTGGCTGGAAAGACACGTCGCGTGCGCAATAGTGCATCAATATGAAGGCATACAAATTGTTTACGGCTTTTTTTATTACGATATTCCATTATTTATGATTAAATTATTTTTTATATTTGCGCGAGAACTTAATCACTCACGTAAATTTGGTTTTACGCGAGCGTAGCGTGCGCGCTCGCGTCTCGTGGCAAGCCCTGATGGTAACCCACTTTTAATTGCAGAGGCCTATAAGAAGAAAATTAGGGACAGGCCAAAGATTCCATATAATGATGGTATCAGTCTTAGAAAGTTTTCAGACTTCCTTCTACACACTAAAACTGCCATGGATACTGTAAAATATCTAGAGATCCTGAATGATCCAGATGAAAATAAGAAACTGTTAAGAAAACTGCCTCATCACATTGTAAACAGATGGAGTAGAATAGTGGATAGAGCCATTGAAAAATTTTATTATTCCGATGATGAATTTGAAGAGAAATGCCCAGAAGGACGACAACAAGAATCAAGATATCCCACATTTGTTGAATTCTGCAGTTTTCTCAAGAAAGAAGCCAGGATTGCATGTAATCCTGTAACCTCAAATCTCAGATCAGAAGAAGATAGGGATAGAAAATTTGAAAGCCCAAAGAAGAGAACCTTTAGTAGTTATGCAACAGCTGCTATAGAAGAAAGCGAATCAAGAAACAAGAATTATCAAGAAAGGAAGCCCGACGAAGACAAAAGAATTGTAGAATGTGTAAGAAGAATAACTGTAAAGATTTGAATACCTGTGAAGAATTTATAAAACTTGCCTTACCAGAGAGAAGAGAATTTATAAAATCAAAAGGACTATGTAATGGATGTTTCGAAACTGGACACATACGAAATATCTGTCAGAACAAAAGGAGGTGCAAGAAATGTAACTGGAACCACCCTACATCGTTACACGATCAAGAACTCTATTTAAAATACAAGAAAAGAATGCAACAAGAACGATCAGCGGTTTCCAACTGTACCAAGTATTTTGGGGACTGTATCCAATCACACTCCTTAATCATACCAATTAAGTTATTCCATAAAGATCACCCGACCAAGAAGATATTGGTTTACGCAGTAATGGATGAACAATCTGACACCTGTTTTGTCGGAGATGAACAAACAAAAGTCTTGAATTGTGAAGGAATAAATGTCAACTTAGGCCTATCCACAATCCTTGGCGAAGACGTTATAACGAGCACCAAGATTTTTGGATTGATTATACAGAAATTATATAGAAATTTCATTACCCCCTACCTACACACGAGAAACTATCCCAACAAGGCGAGAACAAATCCCGAGACCCGAAACCTGCAAGAATTGGCCACAACTCAACAAGATTTCGTCTGAAATTATGCCCTACAAAGAAGACGTTGAAATAGGACTCTTAATTGGAATAAACTGTGCCAAAGCTTTAAAGCCTCAAGAAGTTATACCTGGTAATGGGAATGAGCCATATGCTATTAGGACACTGTTAGGGTGGGGAATCGTTGGAATGATTAACCCATCATGTCAGAGATTTACTGAAGAACCAAGAAATGAAAAGAAAGACCATTTTGTTTACAAAGCAGAATGTAAAGAATTATTAACTCAAGTAAATCAGATATTTAATTTCGACTTTAACTCCAAAGAAGAAGAAGAAAGGTCTTACTCACAAGAAGATAACAGATTTATCAAGATTATGGAAGAAAATATTGTTCATTTAGATAATAATCACTATCAGTTACCCCTACCACTAAAGAAAGAGAATATTGAGCTTCCTGAAAACAAAGAATTAGCGCTTACCAGATTAATGAAACTGAAGAAAAGATTGAAGACAGATAAGAAGTATAAAGAAGACTACTGTACCTTTATGGAAGATATTATCCAAAAGAATTATGCTGAAAAGGTCCCACAAGATACAACAGGAAATGACCCGTCATGGATCATCCCTAGCCACGGAGTTTATCATCCTAAGAAAAAGAAAATTCGAGTCGTATTTGATTGCAGTGCGACATACCAAGCTAAGTCCTTAAATCATCTGCTATTACAAGGACCGGATTTGACCAACAACCTCCTGGGAGTACTCTGCCGATTTAGAAAGGAACCTATAGCATTTACATGTGATATCCAAGCCATGTTTTACCAAGTATCAGTTGAAGAGAAGTATAGAAACCTCCTTAAATTCCTATGGTGGGAAAACAACGATTTTGATAAAGAGCCGATCGAATACCGCATGACTGTGCACTTATTTGGTGCATCATCATCGCCCTCTTGCTCCAACTTTGCCCTCAGAAGAGCTGCAGATGACCACGAAGAAGAATGCAGATCACCAGCAGCTAACTTCGTCCGAAACAGTTAAGACCCCAGAAGAAGCAGTTAGTCTTATCAAAAGCACTCAAGAATTATGTAGTAAAGGTGGTTTCACTCTACACAAGATTGTGTTTAACTCAAGTAATGTCCTGCAAGAAATCTCACCTGACGATAAAAGTCAAAGCAGCAAAGATTTGGATCTCACCCAAGATGAAATACCTATTGAGAGAGCACTTGGAGTCAACTGGTGCATTGAATCAGATACCTTACGGTTCCGGATTCAACTTAAAGACCAACCCCTAACCAGAAGAGGATTGTTGTCGACTGTTAGTTCAATATTTGATCCCCTCGGCCTGGTATCGCCATTCGTATTGATTGGTAAACGTATCCTGCAACAACTTTGTCAAGAAGGTCAAGACTGGGATCAAAGAATACCAGATTCTATTCGTCCTACGTGGCAGAAATGGAGAACAGAAATATTACTCCTACCAAGATGTTGCAAGCCCCCATACTTTGGTAGACCGGAAGTTATAGAAGTTCACCATTTTTCTGATGCCTCTACTAATGGATATGGCCAATGTTCGTACCTTCGTCTTATCAACAAGGAGAATGAAGTCCATTGTTCTTTGATATTGTCCAAGTCAAGAGTATCCCCCCTCAAGCCTGTTACCATTCCGAGATTGGAATTAACTGCGGCTGTAGTTTCAGTGAAGATTAGCCAGATTGTATCTAAAGAACTTCAGTATACAAGACCAGTAGCAGAATACTTCCACACCGATAGTCAAGTTGTATTAGGCTACATAAGAAATGAAGCCCGTAGGTTTCACACTTTTGTTGCCAATCGTGTACAAAGGATTAGAGACCATACATCACCAGATCAGTGGAGTTACGTTGAATCTAAAAATAATCCAGCAGACGATGCTTCACGAGGCCTTTGGGCTGCAGAACTAATCAACAATACCAGGTGGTGGAATGGCCCAGAATTTCTTTGGAATCGTCAAGAATCAACACAAGAATCAAATCAACAATTCGATATCTCCCAAGAAGATCCTGAAGTTAAGTCTGTATCAACGATGAAGACCTAAGTCAATCTGTACCCATCAATCTTAGAACGACTAACCTACTTTTCCAGTTGGTACAAGGCAGCAAGAGCCATAGCAGTCTGCTTACGATTGCTTAACAAACACCAAGAATCCAAACATGACACCCAAGAACTTATCCAAGAAACTCAAATACAAGAAATGCGAAAAACAGATGATAAAGACAATGAAGAAACTAAAAGAACTCAAGATAATCAAGAAAGCCAAAGAACCAAAGAACAACAAGAAAACCAAGATACACAAAAAAACAAGAACAAGAAACAAAAAAACATACCAAAGAACAAAGGAACTCAAAGAACTCGAGGCAAACTCTATTTGTATGTACCTGTGAATGCAGAAGAAATCGAGAATGCTGAAACCAAGATTATTATGATGTTCCAGAAACAGTATTTTGACAATGAAATTAAGACTTTAAAATCCAACGAGGAACAAGAAACAAAAGACAGCAAATTAAACAAGTCATCACTCTATAGATTAGACCCATTCCTTGATGGAAAGGGTATACTTAGAGTCGGTGGGAGAATCAAGCACGCCAAAGTTCCTGGTGTTGCCAAGCATCCTATCATCATACCCAAAAAAGGCCACGTAACTAATTTGATCATTTGTCATCATCATAATAGAATACAGCACCAAGGCAGAGGTATTACTCATCACGAAATAAGGTCGGCTGGCTATTGGATAATTGATGGCAGTTCCTGCGTTAGTTACCACATCTCCAAGTGTGTCAAGTGCAGAAAGTTACGAGGTATCACCCAAAGTCAGAAGATGGCAGACCTTCCGGAGGACCGGCTAGAACCATCACCTCCCTTTAACTACTGCTCCATTGACTTTTTTGGACCATTCGTGGTAAAAGACCGAAGATCAGCACTCAAAAGATATGGTGTGTTATTTACTTGCAATGTCTCCAGAGCTATACACCTCGAGATAGCCAATGACATGTCAGCAGATTCCTTTATAAACGCTTACAGAAGATTTGTAGGTCGACGGGGTCCAATTAGACAACTCCAAAGCGACCAAGGAAGTAATTTCGTTGGTGCAAGAACTGAACTCAAGATTGCATTACAAGAGATGAACCAAGAAAAAATCAGACAAGAATTATTAAAGGATGGCTGTGATTGGTATGAAATCAGGATGAATGTTCCCTATTCAAGTCACATGGGAGGAGTGTGGGAGCGTCAGATTCGAACGGTCCGAAGTATCTTATCAGCACTCATGGACCAACACAGCTCTCAATTAGACGATGAGTGCCTTAGAATGTTCATGGTTGAAGCTGAATCTATCGTCAATAATCGTCCTTTCACAACGATATCAACCGATCCAGATCAACCTATCACGCCAAATCACATTCTTACTTCAAAGACGAAGATTCTCTTACCCCCTCCAGGTGTTTTCCAGCGCAATGATGTCTACCTTCGAAAGAGATGGCGGAAAGTTCAATATATTGCCAATGAGTTTTGGAACTCATGGAGAAAGAGTTACCTCCATAATCTCCAAGAACGCCAGAAATGGTCAAGAAGTCAGAAGAATCTACAAGTCAACGATATCGTAATTATCAAGTCTGACAATGAACCAAGAAATCACTGGCGCTTGGCTAGAATCGATGAAGTGTATTCTGAAGATGATGGCTTAGTACGTAAAGTTAAGTTACAGATGGCTGATTCATCATTAGATTGTTATGGTAAAAGAGTTAAGCCAGTCCAGTATCTTGAAAGACCTGTTCATAAATTGGTATTACTGCTGATGAAACTGAAGACCAAGGGAATCCCCATCGAGGAGCCTTGATAGAACCATTGGTGTAAATGAAAGTGAATTAAGACTGTTATTTTAAATAAGTTTATTTCAAGAAATATCGAACATTTTCAAAGTGATAAATCATAGACAGTGATTCAAAGTGATCTCAATGTTATTTTCTTAAAGTTTTAAAGTGACATTCAAAGACTTAAGTTTTTTAAATGTTATTTAAAGGACTCTCAGGTGACTTCTAGTGTAAATTGTTACCTCAATTTAGAGGAGCCATGTAAGGATTGTGGTTCACATTCCAAAGCTAATCTGTATTTTATTATCTCCCTTTTTAGAAATCGGGAGTTATCTCCTTTGGTTACCTACTGTAGTTTCTGTAGTCAATCCGTATCTATACAACAAGATGGAAGGATAGCACGCCAGATATATAAAAGTATACACTCCTAAGAATTATGGAGTCTGCCACAAAGTTTTACGTACTCATAATTACTTATTAATGTCACCCAACAACTACCGACTTCTCCATTCAAATTGTTATAATTATTATTTTTAACTCTGTCGAGGTTAATATATTATAAGCATTAAATATTGGTTGTTGTTTGATTTACCCAACCTGGTGATGAGTTCAGAAATAGAAAAACCGCTACAGACAACACGGCCGACCCGGGGAGCAAGAAAAAGAACAGAAGATCGTATCCAGTGTGCCAGAGTCCCACTGTTCCGCACTATATCCCAAGTAACAAGGTCCCCAGCCGTTATACATGTGGACGTATAATGCCGTCGCCCCTATCCGTCCGTACGGAAGGTCCGTCCACAATTGTTTGTGGACACTCTACAGGTCACAATTCTTATCCGATTTTGACGAATCTTGAAATATAGGTTTATCTCCAACAGATCTCGGTTGCTTTCGATATTGGCATGTATCGGACCGAAACTTCATGGATTATGGCCCCTGATTGTATAAAAAATTACGTTTTTAGCTTGTGGACCTTAGATATAATAGAGGTCACAATTTTTATCAGATTTTGTTGAAACTTGAAATGTAAGTTTATAACCCAAAGATCTCAGTTTCTTTAGATATTCGCGCATATCGGATCGTAACCTCCTGAATTATGGCCCCTGATTGTACGAAAAATCGCTTTTTGTTTAGCTTGTTCTCTATCCATCTCTTGCAAAATGTGGGCGTATCCTGCCTGGCAGCCGCTGGTTCTCCCAACACGTAATTCTATTCTGTTTTTTATTTAATACGACGGTTTGATTCAAAGAGCAGAACAATATATCTGATTACCCTTCCTTTGCAGATCACATTTATCTCGTTAACACCATGTGTGGACGTAATAGAGGTAAAGTGGCCTTGTTCTTATGACACGTGGACAATACGTGGGTGTTCAAATAGAGTATGACGACTAACAATGGACTGCTTATTCACGTCATTGATAAGATTCCCACCAAACAAACTTCTATTGTTCTACTACCAGATATTCATCATTAATTATCAACACTAATCTGTTGACAACTATGCATACAACTCTATAAAACCAATCATGAGATTATGTGGCTTCTATAGACATGTGCATTGTTCTGTACAGACTGTAGAATTTTATTGTTACATAGCGGAGGTCGTTCGTAGCCATGTTTGAAAATTGGGTTTTGAAAAATAAGCCATTTTTCCGGCGTGCAAAATGACCGATGGGGCAGATAGATCTTGTTTCAGTCAATTTCAGTAGCCCTCGGTCTTGACTGGCATATACGGCTGTCATGGAACACATGTAATAAATGCAATCAATTAAAAAAAAAAATGTCTTCAAAGTCTTTTCTTTAACCGTCTTTCACCAACTTTTTGACAACTTTATAGTATCTTATCAGCGTCTACGGCATACTTGGTCAAAATAATTGAGTTGATAGTACTGCCTTGCTCATCTCTCTCTATACAAATACATTTCTGCTCTTTAACACTGAATTCCATCTTCTTTTGTCATTGAGTCAAGTGGCGTGGTTTCTATTTTCCAGTAGTAAAGATTACTGTTTTTATTTATATGTTGATTTCTATATTTCTATTTTTACACGAACTACATATTTTTAAAACCCTTTCTATATTCAATATTGATATTGTGATTTTTATCCATTGTGTTATGGTATTTTTATTGTAAAGCGCATCTGAACATGTTTATCATGAAAGGAGCGCTATATAAGTACATGTAATAATAATAATAATAATGATGATCAAAAAGATAAAATTAGAGAATGCATCAGTTTGTCGCTGTGGCCTCTCTTCGATCTCATTTCAATGCGTGCTGATATCGTACGTCATCATGCAGTGGACTTATTCCAGAAATAAGAGATCGTTTTATCTAACTCATTACGGTATAGGTACAGTACTATACGCATGATTGAGATGAAAGGAGGCGGGAGAATATCATATTATGATTGCCACTGTTGACAGACGAGAAGCTATTGCCTTGATATTGTATCATTATTTCCGCATGAACCATTCCGACATAGATATTATACAGGTGCAGTCCAAGTTTGGGATTTATATAGTAGTCAACATTTAATAACTGATAATCTCAACTTTATTATTATTGATTTTGTTTTGTCTGTTTAAATAATCCATCTTTAATAATTTATTTGAATTATAAGTATATAAATTTATAAATTCCTACATAAATAATTGTTTAATTTAATTTGGTCAAGGAACTGACTATGTTACTCCCTAAATTATTCTGATCGTATCCTATATCGTGAAATGTGTTTGAGGTTTCTATGCATGTAGAACAGATTTTGCCAGAACAAGGTGCAGAGTTGGATGTTGACAAAATGCAGGAGGTCACAAGTTTGTTGCCTAAGAAAGTTGCATGGGGGGGGGGGCAACCAAGTCATTTCGGTCAGAAAGCCCCCCCCCCCCCCCGATCACACGAATACCATGTTAAAGTGTGTCCGTGAAGGCATGTTAGAAATCAAAGTAAAAGCAGACTTATGTGGGGAACAAAATTTTACAATTTTACACATGCCAGCTTGCCAGGTACAAGTCTTTTATATGCTGGTTGGTGCTCTAAACTGGGATTTGAACCTCATTTCCCAACCCCCACTCCCATAGCAGTCATTTGGAAATGTTAAAAAGGAAAGGATAAACTTTATCTACCATAAAACATGCAATTCAGAGCAATGTTCCTTTGATTGTTGATGTAACAATGAGCACTTACATGTAGTGTCTTTTCTCAATACATCACGGATGCACGTGACATAAGAAGGGTTCCTTTTCAAGTGATATTTTGTGTTCTTAAAGCCTCATGTGTTGCTATAAGCACAGCTGTATAATATTCAAAATAATTTCCAAATGAAATATAGGACTGAGTAAAGAAAAAAATAACAATCTCAGTACAAAAAACCCTTTTAAATGGAAACACCCATGTCCATGTTACATACATCCCCACATTCAAATCCTTCAGTGTGAAAAGAAATTGCCTTGCGATTGGAAGACTGTGATTTCATGACTTCTTTGGTGTAATTTTTTCCATCAATAAGCAGTTTTCATACGCTTATTCCACCTTTTTATAAAATGTCCATGTTACATGCTATTTTATCATTTCTCATTTCCTATTGGCTTACGGAGAAGGTTTGATTCTGATGTTAAAAATTATTTACCATTAATAACTTTCAGATTTCTTATATTGTTGACCATTAAAATAATGCTGTTGACTTGAGAGATGATGAAAGTAAAGATTGTGTCCTCGTTACATACAGTTCCTTGTGCAGTTAATAATATACTTAATAATTCTAATATATTCTAATCTCCATTGATATAGTTTCTACGCTTTGGGTTTTATATATATAAATATATAGTTTCTTGCCTGGGTCATCGATAGGACTACCAAGAAAAAGTAATTCTCTCACTTTATATAACAAATGATAACTCACATATCAAATAACACTGATGAAAATAGGGACATGCGCCCGTATCCACCCACGGTGATATTGCCCATTGCCGAACATTATTCATATTCAATCTAACTCTGCGTAACAAGCTCGTCTTTGAAAGAATAATACTGATATATGACACTTGTTCATATAGCCGCTTGTTTTTCATTAGATGAAATAGCTTTATTATTTGACTCCACAGTACTAAGAAACCACAGGTTCTGTGTCGGTTCGTGCACGCTTTTCACACGCGGAACTGTTCTTTGATGTTGAGAGGTCGTGACACACAGCTCTGCCCTTTGATGTTGAGAGGCGAGTTGTGTCTCGTGCTCGAATGGATTAGCTGATAAAGTTGGTTGGAATTGTTACATTTTATTTCAATAAGTACAACAAAAAGGACAATTTTGTAATGTGGGTGAATACTGTGGTATATTCAATTTTGATCTTATTGCGATAGTGCCGCTGCCCGAGCAAAATTTCCCTCATAGCCCACTGTATGGCGTATGCCCGTCTTCATTAGCCCAGTATAGGAGCAGAACAGTAGGACGTTAAACCCCATTCCATTTCATTTCATTTCTATTAACATAATATGTATATATACATTTCATTTTTTTTTCTCATAGGAAATTTCGGTTAGTATCTGAAACGAAAAAACTGTCCAAGTCATTATATTATGTTGTAATCAGAGAAATGTTCAAACAAAGAAATGAACTAGACAAGATAAAGAGTATAAGCAATACCATTATTTGTTGTCACATATTGATGGTTATATGCGTTCATAATTAAATGTTTTAATTAAATCGTAATGTATGAATTGTGTGCTTTATTTTTCATCGAATTGGCAATTGGTATTAGCCAAGACATTCGCTGCTACACGCATACAGCTTTGCTCCAATAATGATAGTTTGTGGAATTTTATGGGGTTTTAAAAGAAACATAGTCAATGGGTGAAATTTAAGACTGGGCAGGGACGAAGACGGGAAAACATTATTAAGTTGTTATTCATACAAATTTACTAAAAATTGAGAAATATTTTTATGTAACAATGATAACGGTGAACCTGTGTTGATAATGAAGTTAATGAGAATACTGTCAACTAAAATATCACACTGAAGTTTCCGAGGTGTAAATGTTGTATCCACTGGTAGGATTGTCATCTGATTAACATGATCTACTGAACCGATACCTGATTTACATACATGTGCGAAGTGTCCTTGTTTGTTGCATTTATGACAGTACTGGTTTAAAGCAGAGCAAAAGGGGTAGGAGGCTCTATGTTGAAAACTACCACACCTAAAACAATGTTGTTTTGTCCGACTAGAATTGAGCGGAAGTCTAGTTTTGGTTGGCAATCCTTGCATTTGAAAACTGGGTCGAAATTGTTGATTATTTGTTGCGCGAACTGGATTACGAGGCTGAAATCTTGGCTGAAAAGACTGTGGTCTTTATTTGGCACATAGAAATTATTGTAATGTGACTTTGAAAACTTGGTATTACTCCAGCGGTCATTATTATTATTATTGTATGTACGATAATTTCTATTACCGGTACTTTTAATTCTTTGCACACGATCCATCATGTGATTATTATTCGGCCTTGATAGAAGTGATTGACATTCAACTGTAGCAAGTTTGATTTGTCTGGCAATTGTTATTGCATTCTCAAGTGTCAAGCCATTGCCTTCCATCATTAAACATTCCTTTATAGATTTACTATTCGTTTTTTCAATGAGTACATCTCGAATCATTTGATCAAGCATCCCTGCAGGATAATCACAGTTTACACTAAGTCGACGTAGTTCCGATACATATTCATCAATAGCTTCACCATTCTTTTGTGCACGGGACATAAATCTACAGCGTTCAACAGTAACATTGTACCTTGCTCCGAAATAATTATCTAACGCATCAAGACAACTTTCGTAAGTTGTATCTTCATCGTTGAGAGAGTCATAAACAGCCTTGCCGTGTGTCCCCAAGCAATGAAGTAATAAAGATCGTTTTCTTCTATCAGCGTAGTCTTCCCCATCGATGGCAATTAAATAATTCTCGAATGAGCTTCTAAACAGTGCCAAAGTTATAAGTGGTTTTCCTGGAGTCAGAAGAAAACTTTGCGTTAGCCGGATACTCATTTCCGTTGACAGAAATAACAGTAAGCCTACCTTATTGTATTGTTCGTCTTTAATATAATAAAATGATTCTTGTCTTCAATTCTACATGTTTATTATTCAAACACTTATTGCATATAAGTTAAGTAATATTATTAAGTACAGCTTCGTGCATGGCTCTCATCATATCATATTCTCGAACGTTCAACCACATGTCTGATTCTTTCTTATTGCGCATGTCCAACCTCACTGTATAATAAATATGATAAATACGGAAACAATGGACAGCAATAATAAAACTAAAGACACTACAGTCTCTTTAAGTGCTCCGAATTAATATTCTCTCGTCACTCTAGTGATGTGTTTCTTGAATATGGTCAACTGGTAATCTGATCTGGAGATCTAGAGGTGTATTTAACTCCCTTCCAAACATCAGCAAATGTAGTTCGTAAAATAATCTGTAACTTACTGTATGTAGCTATTCCCTCTTACACCTGGTGGTTCTATCTGCCCAACAATATCTACTGCGACCCTCTCCATAGGTGCACTTGCTGCATTATTTCTCTGACAATAATGATTTTTAGGAGTGTTCAAATTTGTAGGCGACTCGTAGGCTCATAGCATGGTCCACCGAGGCCTGCCTGTCATCATCACCTCCTGATCCTCTTGTCTTGATACCATACGTGCTTTCTACTTATAAATCTCTTTGATCTTTGGGGTATGTTCTATGCCCGGAATAACTTGAGGTCTGAAAGTCGGGGGCGGCTTTGAATATATACAAGGGACTTTGGGGTTATTCTTCTGAAAGTTTTTCTTTAAACCCGTAACAGGTTATTCTTCCAGGGTAGGATTTTTTTCCCCCATAAGAAAACATGATCTATGGTTTTTCTTACGGGAATTCTGGGATATTCTCATTTTGCGTACATGTAAACATAGACGGTTTATTAGCAAGATAAAGTCCTTGACTTCGGTTATGCTGGGGAAGAAAAACCTCAGAAAAAAAACCTCGACAGAAAAACCTCAGCCTACCGGCCTCAGTTTTTATACGCCCACATTGAAATGTGGTCGTATATTGTTGTCCCCCCTGTCCGTGCGGAGTCCACAATTGCTTGTGGACGCTCTATAGGCTAAAGTTAATATCCGATTTTCGATAATTACTGCCAGAGTTATGGCCCTCGATCACTTTGAAAAATCTGGTGGATGCTCTAGAGGCTAAAGTAAACATCCGATTGACTTTAGATTTATACACAGTGTTCGAGGTCATGAGACGAAAAATCCTATTGATTTTCAGCGATTTCCGATAATTACTGCCAGAGTTATGGCTCTTGATCACTTTGAAAAATCTTGTGGACGCTCTAGAGGCTAAAGTTAATATCCGATTGACTTTAAATTTATACACAGTGTTTAAGGTCATGAGACGAAGAAGCCTATTGATTTTCAGCGCCAGAGTTATGGCCCTTGATCACTTTGAAAAATCTTGTGACGCTCTAG